TCCTTTATATATATATTTTTTATTTTTATTTTTCTATTTTTGAGACAGGGTCTCACTATGTAGTTCAGGTTGGCCTTGAATGCAGTGATCCTCCTGCCTTGGCCTCCTGAGTGCTGGAATCACAGGTGTGTGCCACTGCGCCCTGCACCATTTTTTTTAAATAAATTTATTTTATCTGCCCTCCTTCATCAAGCCTCCTCCCCTCTAGTGTGTGCATAATCTACTCCCCATTTTTTATATATATATTTTTTATTTTTATTTTTCTATTTTTGAGACAGGGTCTCACTATGTAGTTCAGGTTGGCCTTGAATGCAGTGATCCTCCTGCCTTGGCCTCCTGAGTGCTGGAATCACAGGTGTGTGCCACTGCGCCCTGCACCATTTTTTTTAAATAAATTTATTTTATCTGCCCTCCTTCATCAAGCCTCCTCCCCTCTAGTGTGTGCATAATCTCCCAATTTTTCTGCCCTGCCCAACCTACCCTTCTTCCTGTATTTGGAATTGAGCCCAGAGCCTTAAAGCTATAGGCAAGTGCTCTACCATGAAGCCACATCTCTAGCCTGTTTTGTTTGTTTGTTTTTTTGGTATGGGATCCAACTCAGGACCTTGTGCTTGTGAGGCAGGCAGGGCACCACTGAGCTAAATTCCACCCCTGTTTGTTTTTTTTGAGGCAGGGTCTCCCTTTGTAGTTCAGGCTGTCCCTGAAGTTTCTGTGTAGCCCAGACTAGTCTGGAACTCACAGATCCTCCGGCCTCAGCCCCGAGTGCTGGGATTACAGTAGGTGTGTGCCACCATGCCCGGTGCTTCCTTTTTTTTTTTTTAAACGGGAAATGTTTTTGAGTAATAGACATTGTATCAAAACCTTGGGTAGTGCTTTCTCCACAAAAGTGTGTGCTCTGAATGGTCCACTGTGTTTCAGACACATTTTTGCACGTTTGAACACCCTAGATTTGTAGCCTGTGAGTGCACTGAGTGCGTGGGGTAGGTTTGAAACAACAGAGGCTTCTGTGTCTGGCTTGCTCTGACTCCTTGCCAAGCATGGCAGGAAACCTGGTCTTCCTGCCAGCAGTGATCGCATTGATGTCCAGAGCGTAGTGGGGTTAGGAATGGTAGTGATCAGGGCACTGCTGCCTGAGTTAACTGCTCCCTCCTCAGAGCTGGGGTGGGAGGGCGGTGGTGCTGTTGACAAGTAGCAGAAAGGCAGAATTTGACCCTCACCCAGCTCTGAAGGACCTTTTTTTTTTTTGTACCAGGGATCAAACTCGGGTCCTTGTGCTTGCAAGTCAGGCAGTGGAACCGCTGAACCGCTGAGCTAAATCCCCGGCCCCTGAAGGGCATTTAACAGATTTCTTCTCTTTGCGAAGCCTTGCAGCCCGCTGGCTTGTGCTCAGCTCTGAGTCCCCCGTGTGCAGAGGGACTTCCGGGGGAGGCTGAGTCATTGCTGTTACTGCTTCAGGTCGCTTTGGTGACTTCAGGAGTGCAGCTCTGAAAAGCCAGCTGGAAATGAATGCAAACATGAGCACTTGTACTCTTTGCTTAGAAAAAGTTGGCATAGTAATGTTGGCTTACTCATATGTTTCATTTATGTACTCATTTATTGATTTTTTGGTGTTTTGAGCCAAGGCCTCACCTGTAGTTCAGGCTGGGCTTGAGCTCACTCTGTAGCCCAGGCCAGTCCTCTTGCCTCAGCTTCCTGAGTGCTGGGATCACTGGCGCGCACCACCACGCCCCGCCAGTGAAGTTCCCTTTAATCCAGCTTGTCTGATGTTAGCATTGGTATTTGTTCTTACATCTTGGGTGTAATGGAGTTGTTTTTAAAAGTTAAGTAGTCTCCTATATGAATAGCAGTTACAACATTTTTATTGCGGTTATTCTGCCTCTTGATTTTAATATTAATTTGTACTACTTTTGTGGCGTGAGTGTTGTCTTTTAAAATACTGAACTGGGACAGGCCTTTTTAGAGCTTCCACCAGGGCTGGTTTAAACTCCAGCATGTGGGGAGTCCCAGGCTTGAGGTCTGGGGTGCCAAGGCTCCAGGTTGTGGGTGTCACCAGGCAGTGGTGACCTGGCCTTGGTGCCATGCTGGCCTCTCTGCTCCACTGTGACAGCGCCACCTCATTAACATCACAGCCAAGGTGCACAGGAACTGGGAGGATGAAACCGGGTTGCAACTGTCTAAGGAGCGTTCTGGGTGCAGTCACAAAGCACAAATGGTCACGTGCAGGTGTCTGATTGCATGCACTTACTGCAGGTTATTTTGGAAAGGGACCATTAACAAACTGTTTCTTTTCCTCTTTCCCTTCCCCGCCACTGGTTCAGTGAGCTGGAGATCAGAGAACAGGTATCTTTCCAGTTCTTACGTATATCACTAGTTTCCCTGGTTTACTGATGGCCACAGTAAAACGTGTGCTTATGTAGATTTGCAATTGCTGAGTTGTAACTCTTAAAATACTAACAGTGACATGGTTGTGTTTTTGTTTTTTTATAATTGTGTTTTTTAAACTTAGTAATGTTTAATGTTTTATTTAATTCCTAACTTGAATTTTTTTTGTTTCATTTTTTTCACTTATGTTGTCTCACAAATGTAACGACTCTAGGTCACTAATGTGTGTTCTGCATGAATGTTGTTAATTTTGGAATTTCTTGAAGACTAAGCTTTAAAGCATTTCAAGGCAGTTCCTGACTAAACTTCTTTCTCTTCCTTCACAGCCGAAGGAGTAAAGACTTTGCAGTGCCCGTCTTTCACGAGAGGATTAATAAACCGTAAAAACTTCCTGTGTCTGGCTGTTTGGAGTCTGTGCAGCAGCTCACTGGGTGCAGCGGGTTTAAGTTTCCACCTGTGATCCTGTGCAGCAAGCCCTCGGCGAGGACTGGGCTGGGGGCGGTGTTGTCATTTCCTCCTAGCAGCCGGGAAGGAGTCCTAGACCCCAGCTTAGCCATCACTTAAATTACCTGGGGGCTTCAGTAGAAGTTGCTGACCAGCTCACATGTCTTTGTTTACCCAGCGTGAACAGGACCTGTCCTCTATCCCAACTCTGTCTTTGTGGGGTGGGGTGGATGTGAGGGCCGCTGTGGTCTGAATATGTGGGTCTGGGGTGTACTTGGTTGGTGGATAAGTCATCTGGCTCTTGAACAGTGAGGGGTCACAGTGTTCTTCCTCAGCTTGGCTGGCAGGCATTGGGGTAAGGCCCAGGCTGTCACTGGACCTGTGTTGCGTGCTGGGACTGGGGAGGGAGGTGTTGCAGGGTAGTCAGTGGGCAGAGGGTCCTAAGTGAAGGAGCTGGAGTGTTTGGGCTGGGGGAGAAGAGGCATTAGTTCCTTCTGGGTTTGGTATGCCATCTTCCCTGGAGGTTTGCACATTAGATGGCCCTTCTGGGAGCTGCACCTGGAAATGCTAGTCTAAATCATGTCCCGATGGTCTGGGAAGAGTGGGCACCTGGGCGACATGGAGGGCAGGGCTGGGCAGAGTGCGGCAGGGTCTTTGGAGTCGTTGCCTCTGGCTCTGCTCGGTGCTCTGGGCTTTGTGGGCCCCGTGGCCCCGTTTGCTCTCCTGCTTGGGGGTCTGCTCCCTTGCTAGGAGCCGGGTGGAAGTGGGCCGGTCTGTGAGCTGGTTTCGGTGCTGGGGTTGGCGTGAGCAGGATTTTTAGTGCGGTGTGCGGAGGCACAGGTTGTAGCTGGAGATGCAGCTTCTAGGGGCTAGGGTGGGAGTGTGGCCGCCCAGGGAGCTGGTGGGGTGCAGTGCAGTGGAAGGGAGGGGTCCCCAGTGGTTCCCACTGGTGTGAAGAGCAGGTGCAGCGCCAGGCAGCCTGGCCTGTGTGGTCACGTCCCTCTGGAGAAGAATTTCCATATACTTTTCTGAACTGCTCAGGATAGCAGAAGCCAACATTGCCGTGGCACCCGTGAGCTTTGTTACATGGATAGCACTTTGAAACTTGATCCATTTTACATGATGATACGGATCCCAGCCTCCTGAAACAGGCCCGCATGCCCTTCCTACCAGGGTCCCGGCAGTCGTCACATCCAGGGCTGACCGCACCCCGACTGTGCCCACTCAGTGCCCTGCTGTCATGTCCCTTTGGGTGTTTCTGGGCTACTTGGTCCTCTGTGGGGTTTAACCACTCTTGAAACGGGGGCTTCCAGAGGATCTGCTCTGCCTCCCTGGGTCAGGCTATTTTGAGACTCAAAGGATGTAGTGTCTGAGAGCAGTGTGGAAACTGAAGTGCTAAGCAACTGTGTGGCAGGAAGCGAGGGCTTGCAGGAACTCGCTTTAAATTGCGGACAATCGTGCTATTGAACTGGGGGATTCTTGGAGATTCAGCACTTTGTTGGCCCTGACAGTAACCAGACGCGCAGCGCTGTCAGCAGGTTTCGGAAGAGCCTTGGTAAGATTGTGGAATCCAGAAGGTGTCCCTACCCTGCCCTTAGCGCGGGCTGGAAGCTGCAGCTTAATGAGGGTGGGCCGGTGTGCTTGGTGGTCCTGGGGATTGAATCCAGGGTCTGGCACATATCTACGCCAGCGCTGTACCACCAAGCTTTGAAGATCGGTAAGAAGCTTGAATTAGTTCTGGAAAAGGCAGTTACAACAGTGCGTGAATATTTGGGGTGCTGCTCTCGACTTGTTCTAGCAGTGCTGACAGTGGCTGGCTATGCTTAGCTTTTGTTCTCTGCCTCCTTCACTGGCAAGTTGATTTTGGGAGCTGTCCTTTAAGACAGCATCTGTGGTCATAGAGCTGAGGCAGCACCTCTTTTAACTTCCAGGAGAGTTGAATATTTTATTCATATATAAATTAATCCATCATGAGCCACATCATTAACCTTGCAAAAATCCTGGAAGGACAGAGGTAAAGCAGAAAAGGCCACCTCAGTAGGAGTCTATCCCATCTTTGCTTTCCCACCCCAAACAAACATGATGCAGCACCCTCTGGGAGATCAGCCTGATTCAGAGGTTGCTTCGTGGTGATTTCTGTCCCAGCCACACCTCCATCCAAAGCTCGAGGGAGGCAGCACCACCTCTCAGCTCACAAGAGACGGTGACCAGGTGCCACAGGGACGGCATGCTGTCAGTGTTCTAGAGCAAGAGGTGCCCTCAGTCACTCATGGAAACCCTTAAGCATCACTGGTGCCTGGAACCAAATGTCCTCGGAGGCCAAGGATGGCACGGAAGGTCTGCCGCAGGACAGGGTCACGGTGAGTTTGTGACCCCGGGGAGGCAGCCGGTAGTTGAGCTTGGAAGATGGTGCCCATGAGTGGAGGAGCCTGCAGCTCGCTGAAGGCATCAGCCAGGAAGATGGCTCAGAAGAGCCGGCGCAGACAAGCAGATGTGCTCAGGCTCTGGTCCACACTGAGGGGTGCCAGCCGGACAGGTCGAGTTCATAGAACTCCTTGGGGCTTAGGCACTGCCCCCGAGGAGGGTCAGCACTCGTGGTACCAGTGTCTGGGCAAAGAGGTGCTCCCAGTGGCCGAGGACGCTGTCCGGCTCCCAGGGCAGCACCTGTTACAAACTACATGAACATTGAGCTCTAACGTGCGTGGAGGTGCGTGGTACCCAAAGAGGCAGGCTTTATGCGGCCCCTGGAGGAGAGGGTGTAGACTGTGCACTTAGGACTGGAATGCAGTCATGTTGGCACGGGTGGATTGCCACGCATCTATTCATTTGGTGCTCGTTGAACACCTGCTTTCTGGTGGGCGTACAGTAGTTGTGAGCCTCGTGACTTGTCTGCATGTGTGCTGTGGGGGTATGGAGCAAAAATTGTGTGGCCCACCAAACTCCCGTTTACTGAGTTGCTGTGTACCTGTTCCATGATCGGGGGAGGTAAAGAAGCTGTCCCTGCTACTGGGTGTGGGGGCACACTAGTAATTCCAGCACTCGGGAGGCCGAGGTGGGAGGGCTGCTACAAGTTCAAGGCCAGAATAGGCTACATAGCAAAACCTCGTCTCAGAAAACCAAAACAAAAGTCCCTCTCCCGAAGGGTGAGAGGCTAAACAACTTGTGATCTGTGGTCTGGCTTCTATCCCTTGCCGTGCAGTAGCAGTGATGACTTTGACACCATCCGAATCCAGAGCTAAGATCGGTACCGGGAGGCTGGGTCCTGGCAGGCCTCTGAGAGAGGGCACTTGAACAGGGCAAGACACACGATCACAATTAGCACAGGAGCAGAGGTCTCATTTGAGGCCGTAGAACACGGAATCAGGAGGCAGGGTGGGACCAGCTGCCCTACAGGGTAAGGGGATGAGACGCGAGGGTGGGAGCAGTGTGCTGGCTGTCACCCTCTTCCGAATCGAGATCTGCAGGCCTGCCTGACGGTGGGGGCATCCGGCACAGCTGCACAGTGTCTGCTAGGAGAGATTCCATTTCAAGAAGACTTCAGGTTGTCTGGGAGAACGTAGAAGCAGGACGCTCTGAATTCGCAGTGCTGTGGTAAGGTCCAGTGAGTGAATGTCCCTCCTCACGGGTTCGGTTGCCCTTCCCCGTCACATTTATCCTTGAACTTCCTGTGCGCTGGATACCAGTGTCCACGGCAGGGCAGGGCAGGTGTGCAGTGAGAGCTGGTGGGAGATGGGCCTGGAGAGGTCATCGGGGATAGGTGGGGCTGGCTGGACAGGATGGGGGCCGGGCAGCTGATTCCTCACCCCAGCAGCCCCCTGCCAGCAGGCCCAGGATGGGCAGAGGACATGTGGCCTTCCATTGCCCTGTCCCTGTCACAGCAGACTCACTGAGTAGTTCCCAGCCTGGTGCCTGGGGGAGTTGGTGGTGGTTGAAAATACAAACACCCAGCCTCTTGTCCCAGTTTGCAACTTCCCTGATGATAGCAGCCAGGTGTGGGGAATTTTGGGCTAAAGATTCTCCAAGGATTATCCTGCCTCAGAATTCTGTCTCTGGTGGGGTACTTGTCCTTGTCCTCAGGAAGCTGGCCTGTGAATGGTGATGCCATCCCTACTGCTGATGAAAATAATGATGCCCTGGGTTTAATCCCCAGTACCAAACAGAAACAAAACCTGTCAACTAGCAAACAGTGTATACTCTGTGCCAGGTACTGAGGAAACTAAGCATGAATTTACCTTTTACACTCTCTGAGGGAGTTACAGTTACTCTCATTTAAAAATTAACTTATTAATTGGTTTGAGACAGGATCTTACTATGTAGTTCAGGCTGACCTCTAACAGCGATCCTCCTGCCTCAGCCTCCTGAGTGTTGGGGTTATAGATGTGCACCACCACACCGGGCTACCCCCATTTAGCAGATGAGGAATTTGAGGCTTAGGTTAAGGAACTTGGTGAAGGTTGCACAGCTCTGAGGGGCATTTGGGGCACTTGTCTCTGGGGAGCTGGCATTTGTGCTGAGCGTCTATGAGGCAGGGGTTCTGCGCGAGTCTGTCCCGCTCAGCCTCATGGAAGAACCTGCTAGAAATGCCAGTTCTCTGGCCCTACTCCCGAACTCCTTAGTCCAAAGCAGGGTGGGGCCCTACAGGTGATCCTGATGCAGCTAAACCTAGAACCATTGAGTGAAGGGGCCAGGGCAGCATCGCAAAGGGGACAGCCACGGGCACCAGGAACAGCTACTGCCCATGTGCGGCCTTCCCTGCCGTGCAATCCGGGCATCCCCCAGCCTCCCACAAGGGGGCACTGTGGGCACAGAATTGGGAGCGGCAGGCTTTGTTAGTCACTCTCCCTGCGTTAGCGGGAAGAAAGCCTGGTGCCAGACACGCGGGGAGGTCACTGTTTTCCTCCTAGAAGGTCTAATGGGGGCGGGAATCTTGTTTATAGGATTCAGCCCTCGTAGGGGAGGAAGCTGGGCCCGGGGCCGCCTGGCGGCGCGGCCTGCAGATCCCGGGCACACAGCGCCCCCTCCTGCAGCTGCCCAGCCGGCACCGTGCAGTTTCTCTGGGGGACGGGAGCCCGCAGCCGTGTGATGCTTGGGTGGGGGTCCGAGTGCTGCGTCCCGGACCAGTGCTCAGCCTTCTCTTTGCCCCACCACGCTGCGGGGCCTGTTTCCCCTAGGAGAGGAAGTGCCTCTGAGGAGACCGTCAGCATCTTCCTCTGCGTCTCAGATCCACCCTGGGAAGCCGAGGACGTTGCAGGGCTCCCCGAAAGCGTGAGTTAGCGCTCCAGGGACCCCCTGCGAGGGTTAAGGTGGAGCCTATCAGATTGGATTTTCTAAAACGTCCAGATCAGATTTCTGTTCTGCGTTGTTGGGAAGAAGGAAAGATTTATTCCGCGTTCACCTCCTCTCCTCTGCAAGGCGTATTTCTTCTGAAGGACATTGCTTCGGGGGCTTCGGCGTCACCTCCTTAATCTGGGCTGGGCACCTGCGCTTCCCTGGCCAAGCCTCTAGCGGGCAGCAGGTCTCTGGCATTGTAGCTGTGTGTGTGTGTCCCAGAGCCGGAGGGGGTTCGAGAGAGCGCCTGGCCCAGCCTTGTGAGGCACTAGCTCTGTGCTATTCACAGGGTTTTCTTTGGAGTGGGGTGGGGCACAGAGTCTTACTGTGTAGCCCAGGCTGGCCTTAGACTTGCAGCGATACTCCTGCCTCAGCCTTCCAAGTGCTAGGATTGCAGGTTATGTGCACCATATCCAGCTAACATCTTTTTAAAAATTTTCCCCAGCGCTGAGGATTGAACCCAGGGTCTCACACATGCTAAGCAAATACCTACTACTGAGCTAGCCCCAGTTTCAATGATATGTTTAGTTTTATTTTGAGACCATCTCCTGAAGTTGCCTAGGCCATCCTTGAACTTGTCATCACCCTGCCTCAGCCTTCTGGGAGTACAAGTGTGTGCCACTATGCATGTGAGATCTGAAGACTTCTTCACTCAGGGAGCCACCAGTGCAGGGTCAGCACTTTCTTGACCCCAAGAGGGCCCCACCCCACACGTGGGTCCTCCCAGAGGCCTCATTAGAAGTCACCTTGTCATTTCTGATCTGCTTCCACTACCCAGGGAGCAGCTATGCCCAGCCCTTGGAGAACAGAGGCCTTGGAGACATCTACCTACCCGCCTGCAGAATTAGGATGGAGGTGTGGAGGCTTTCTGAACAGAAGCTCTGAAGTGCAAGGGAAAATTTACTGGAAAGCTGGGGCCACAGAACAAAACAAAGGCCCAGGGCTGCAGGCTGTGCTCAGATTGTGCAGGGAAACCTTTCCACAGCAGTCAGCTTTCTGTTCCCCCACAGTGTGCCAGGGGTCTCGTTTCCCTGGTATCTTCTCCAACACTTGTTATTATCTGGCCCTTTTTTTTGGCACTGGGCTTCAAACCCAAGGTCTTATACCTGGTAGGCGAGTGCTGTGCCACTGAGCTGCCCCCAGCCCTATCTGTACTTCTGACTTTAGCCACCACTCAATGGAGTGTGAAGTGTGGTAACTCATTAAGCTGACCTTGAATTCATAGGAAGCCCAGGCTGGCCTCAAAAATCACAGGGATCCTCCTGCCTCAGCCTCCCAAGTCCTGGGATTACAGGTATATGTTACCATGGCTAGGTAGATTTTTTTTGAGACAAGGTCTTGCTGTGTAGCCCAGGCTTTGAGTACACATTACTCACTGTGCTGACACGATATATATATATTATTTATTGTCTTCACAACAGTTTTGCAAGGTGGGATCACTGTTCCCATTTCAGAGATCAGCAAGCTGAGATTTAGGATTGAAGCTATTAGCTGAGAGTTGTTCTGTAAGCAGCAAAACTGGGCCTGAAACGTGGGTCAGTGGCAGAGCCCAGGAGGTCCTGCATTCTCAAATGTCATCCTGAGGTTCTTTGTGGTTATAAAGAGCCAAATGCAGGGCCGGGGATTTAGCTCAGTGGTGCTGCACCTGCCTGGCAAGCCTAAGGTCCTGAGGTCAATTCCTGGTACCGGAGGCGGGCGGGGGGAACCAAAACCAAAACCAAACAAACAAAAAAACCAGCCAAATGCTAAGGTGCTGGAGGTTATGGTTTTACACCCAAGTGTAGCTCCTGTGCACTCAGGAAGCTGAGGCAGGAAGATCTCTGCGAGTTCCAGAGCAGTGGGGCTTACAAAGTGAGAGCCTATCTAAAAATAAAACACAAAAGCTCCCAAAACAAAAAAGCTCCTGCTGCCCTAGCTGCCTCTGTGGGAGGTGGTTAATAGAGGGAAGGGACAGGTCCTGCTCTGCCCGGTCCCCAGGCTCTCCTGGGAGTGTCACCTTTTGTTTGTTTTGTTTCTTTGAAACAGAGTCTTACTATGTAGTTCAGGCTGGCCTCAAACTTGGTGAGATCCTTGTGCCTCAGCCTCCTGAGTGCTGGGGTTACTGTTGTGCGCCACCACACCTGGATTGAATTGTGTCACTTTGGAATCCAGTTAGCGGCGGCACCAGACACAAGAAGACAGCAGCTCTGTTTGTCCAGGGCTGTCCTGGGTGAGGGGTATGATTTCTGGAGTGTGGAAAAGCCGGGAAGCAGGTTTGGCCCGACTGTTGGACACTTTCAATACTCAGAGCAGGGGCTGCATCGGGACAGCCAGCGTCCATCAGTCAGGGTGTGAAGAAATGGATCGTGGCAGCTTCCTCAGGGACATCGCCACAGCCTCCTCCGTCCGGGGGCTTTCAGGGTTTCCTACACCGGCAAAGCCGGTGCCTCGGCTTCCGACTTTATCGGGACTTCCCGTCCGCACAGCTGGGAGCACTCCCAGCTCAGATCTGTCATGTCTCACCGATCCCGAGGGCTAAATTTGGAATTTAATAGCAATACTTTGGATTTATGTTGCCTTTCCTCCGAGGCACCTCATCTGTTATCCCATCGATTCTCCTAATGTCCCTGGGCGGAAGGTGGAGAGTGAGGGTGATACAGGGGAAGGGATCTTCCGGCTTCTCCACATTGGAAAGGTGACAGGCAGCTGAATCAGGAGCAGTGTAAGGTCCGTCCCAGCAGGAAGACTGTGACCGGGGCACAGTATGATGGCAGTTTGAGTACACAAAAAGTTCTCTCTCTCTCTCTCTTTTTTTTTGAATAAAAGTCTCACTATATTGCCCAGGCCAGCCTTGACCTGGTAGCGATCCTCCTGCCTCAGCCTCCTGAACAATACGATTACAGGCATGTGCCACCACCACACCCAGCTTTCCACAAAAAGTCCAACACACCTGTGTAGACTACTGTGTGGGAGCGGTGGGCCCGGGGTGCAGTGGGAGACCAATGTCTCTATACCAACCAGCAGAGAGGTGGGTCTGAGGCCAGGAGGTGGGCTTCTGGGTCAGGAGAAGAAAGTATTTGAACCCAGTTGAGGTAAACCCTGTACTTGAGCCTGGCACTCAGTGTTCAGCCTGCTTTCCTGCCTCCCTTTTTTGTTTGTTTGTTTTTTAGTTGTTGCTGTTTGATTTACGATCTTATTGTGCAGTTCAGGTTGGCCTTGGACTGGTGCTGATCCTCCTCCTGCCTCAACCTCCTGTGTGTTGGGATTATGTGTGCTTCACCTGGCTTGTGGTTCCCTACCTCCTAATCATGTGACATGGCTGCCATCCTTGCAGAGGCTCTTTCCCCAGGGAGGGGTGGCCCAGGGTGCTGCCACCTGACTGTGACATCTGCCTCAGGCTGTTTCCTCTTAAGCCCAGGCACTGGTTCTCGGGCCACCCTAGGTGATGGGGCCATTCTGTGGGGCCACCTCCCAGTCACCTCCCCCCACATCGGGGGAGAAAGGCCCAGAAACCAGGCACTGTGTAAAATCGCCAGGTGCTGCACTCTCCTCCCCCTGCAGGGAGAGAGGGGCAGGGCCTAGATGTTAAGGCAAGAGAAAGCTGGTGGGTTCACGGCGGGAGCCACGCCAGACCTGGGGCGCCAGTGGAAAGGGGGCTGGGGCATCGCGGGCTTTTCCGGGGTCGGGGCTGGGCCTGGAGGGATGAGCAGCAACCAGTGCTGTCAAATGCGCCCCTGCCAAGGGCACTGTTGCAGGTGGAGCCCCTGTGTCCCCTCTCCACCTGCGGTGACAGTGTGGGTCCCCATTTTACCAGCTGGACCCGGTGACCCACACAAACCCCAGACCAGGCCTCAGGCACCTCCATCTTGCCTGGAGCACAATAACGCAGCACCTGTTGACTGACTGACTGTTCGACCGGGCCAGGACCCTGGAGGGACTGGGCTGGGAAGCAGAGGCAGGGAGACAGCCGGTGGCTGTGGCAGGAGCCAGGCGGGAGGTGACGGGGGTTCCTGGGTCTGTGAGATGCCAAGGGTTAGCAGCTCTCCCTCACTGAGGACAAGACCTGTCCGTTGAGAAAAGCCATTAAATTTCATTTTCCAGTCCCCTCTTTGTCTATGTGGAGAAACGGAGGCACACAGAGAGTCAGCCCTACCTTGTGCATCTCCTGGTGAACTTGAGAGTCTGGTGAACCCTGTGGCCGGCTGAGGGCCTCTCAGTGCCTGAAGATGTACTGGAAGGGCTTTCTCAGCGGTCACCGTGGCGCTGGCCAGTGTCTCCGGCCCTAGGACAGTGCCAGTTAGGTTGGAAGCTGAGATGCTGGTGTAGCAGTTCGTGATCCATTCTGTCACCCTATGTCCCCCACTGTTTGGGTATCTTGGGGGTGGGTGGGTCTTGATTGGCATAAGCCAATGACAGTATGGCATCCTGAATGAGCATGAAGGCCCAAGCCAATCAGCATGTCACTTGGCCAAAGCGACTGACATTGGTCCAATGAGAGTTGGTGAGGTGGTTTCTACCTGACAGTTGGGAAGGGATCTCTCTGGCTCCAGATGGCCCGCCTTGCAGAGCTGAGGCTTGGAATCACTGCAGACATTTTGCTGTCTCTGCCTGGGGACGCAGTTGACATTTGGAGCGGTGAAATGCTGAGAGGATACCAGAGAAACAGCCAGAGCCTTGACTAACCCTGCCTGAAGAACGCATACCCCTGGGCTCTAGCTGTGGGGCTAAGAGGTGTGACGTTCAAGGTACATAACTGTTAAAGACATCATTTTAAGTAGTTTAAGTTGGTTTATCTGTTACTTATCATTGAAATGCGTATTTTTTCATTTTAATAAATTTTGTATTATATAAAATGGGATCAACACGTGAGTGGTTAATTTAAAAAATGATTACAGTACAAACTACCTCGCCATGAATCTCCCTCAAAGCGTCTCTCTCTCGCTTAGAACTTGTGCATCCCATCATTGTTGTCACTTTCTGAAGCAACTCTTAAAGTTCTCTTTTGTGAATGTCTTTATGAGGTGTGATAAAAAATACAGTGACGGCTGCTGTCCAGCGCTAGTCAGTGTGTCCATTCCGAATGGACATTCCAGTGTGTCCTTGTCTTAGTCACTTTCTCGTCTCTGGGACAAAATACACGACACCCACAACTTAAAGAGGGAGAGGTTATTTTGGCTCGTGGTTTCAGAAGTTTCAGTCCAGGGCTGGCAGGTTCACAAGAACGGCGCGGTGGAAGGGTCCGGTGTGGAAGAAAACCACTCACGGCAGGGTGACCAGGAAGCGGAGGGTGAAGGGAGGACCCAAGGCGGGAGACGGTTGGCCATAGCAACCGTGATCCAATCCCCTTCCGAAGCCCTACCTCTCAACGCTGAGGCTTTTGGGAAACATTCTAGATCTAAACCATAACAGTCCTCCTCTGTTTTATTCATCAGACCTGGCTCTGTGTGACTCTTAGCTCTTCCCCAAAGTCGACATGACTACGAAACAAACATTTGGAACCGATCAGGACATGGAGGCAGCTACAACAGCACAACTAAAGTCGCTCACGGAAGAGGACTTCCGGAACCGCTGCAGAAAGTGGTAAGCATGGTGGGATAAGAGTTTTTAAAGCAAGGGGGATTGATGGCAATACAGCTTTTTTTTTGTATCAGGGATCGAACTCAGTCCTTGAGCTTGCGAGGCAGGCAGCAGAACCCTGAGCTAAATCCCCGGCCCTTGCAACATGTCTTTTACTGCAATACACACACATGCACACACACACACACACACACACACACATATACATACATTTTTTAAAAAGAATTTAAACATTCATCATGGTTTTTGATCAGACCTCATACTGGAGATTTGCCTGTGTTCAGGTTCTGTACCATAGTAGGGAAGAGAGCTATATGGGCCGCACCCTCCACGAGCACAGGATCTGGAAGCCATGAAAACAGAAATCCAAACATCACATGGTTTCATGCAGACATTGCCAAGTTGAGTAAAAACAAGAACACAGCGGCATCTTGGGTGGGACGTGGAGCATTTAGAGATCATTTGCTTGCCTGGACTCTGATTTGAAGATCTGGCTTTCTCCATACTTCTTGTGAATCCCAGAAGTTCTGAACATTGTCACCAGCCCATGACCAAGGGTAGAGACAGCAGTCAGAGACCATCTTGCATGCCGGAGTGACAGTCTAGACAGGGCTTTTATGCCAGTGAGAGTGACAAGTCACTGGTGGCCTCTATGTAATCCTAGCGCTGTCGAGGAAAATGTCCTCACTAGTATTTGAGTGACAGGCGGTGAGGGGGCCAGGAGCGTGGGGTGGCTGGGGCCGGTGTGGCTTTTGCTTGGGATGTGCTCCAAAGTACTGCCCAGTCCCTGTCCCTGCTGCCAAGAACTGCAGAGTGTTTTATTCCTGATGGTGGGCCATCCTGGGTCCCAGCATGGTGTGCAGCACTACGGGGACCATGGAGAAATCTGGCTTCCTATAGAGTCATCGTCATCAGTGCCTTGTAGAAAGCTGCCTGAGGACAAGGGTGACATCGGGGCAGGGCAGAGTGGACATGTGCCCTCTTGGGAGGGTCCCATTCAGAGGGGATGGCCCTGCCCACTTCTGTAGGGGGCCCTTTCACACCTCTGTGTAGGCACCCATGAGTGAGTGTTCGCTGGAGCTGCAGATGGCTGTGTGCCATCCCATACATCTGTCCTCTATCTCTCTTTGTCCTCTGGTGGGTGGACCAAATATATATATTTGGTTTTTTGAGACAGGGTCTTTCTATGTAGCCAAGGCTGGCCTCGAACTCATGGCACTCCTCCTGCCTCAGCCTCCCAAGTGTGCCACCCCATCTAGCTCTTCCTGGAATATTTATAAACGTATTAAAAGCACAAACTTATAGAGAAAACCAAGTGCGCTCAAGGGCACTTCTCAAACATATCTAAACATTTGTGAGAAAGTAATGCGAATGCTTCTTCATTAATGCAATAATAACCATAGGTTGTGGCAGATCTTATTGCTACTATAATTCAACATAGCAAGGGACAGACATCTGTAACAGCTGTGCCGTGACATAAGAGTATTGGGCTGGGGTTGAAGCTCAGTGATAGAGAGCTTCCCTAGCGTGCACAGGTCCTGGATTCAGTCCCTAGCACTGGTACAGGAGATCTGTGATTGCTATTGGCCACAAAGTCACTGAAATGTTCTAACCATGGGAGGATGGCTTGTGTGTAATCACAACTGGAAAAGTCTTAGAGGATTTATGAAAATAGAGATGTAATTTTTCCCACCCATGTCTTTGGGCTGGCTTGCTTTCTGTCTGCCTTTCTGTCTGCCTTTCTGTCTGCCTTTCTGTCTGCCTTTCTGTCTGCCTTTCTGCCTGCCTGCCTTCTTCCTTCCTTCCTTCCTTCCTTCCTTCCTTCCTTCCTTCCTTCCTTCCTTCCTTCCTTATAGCTGAGTAAATCTTTTTTCTCTTTCTTTCTCTCTTTCTATTCTTTCTTTCTTTCCTTTTGAGACAGGATCTCCCTACATAGTTCAGGGTAACCTTGGAGTCACTATGTAGCCTGCCTGGCCCTGAACTCCTGGCGCTCCTACTGCCTTGGGATTATAGGCATGCGCCACCACGCCGGCCCCTTGTGTTCTGTTGGTGGATCCTGTGGAGGTCTGTGGATCCCAAATTAAGATTCCCTGAGCATCAGGTAGCTAAACACATCTGTGTGCATGTGTATAAAATTACATAGGTGTGTGCGCCTATATAGCGTGGACCCTCAAGTTACAACCAGCCTGACCCATGAGTGACTTGGGTTATGACTGGAATTTTAGTTTCAATTGATTGAACAAAGTCTTGTGTTACAACCTGAATGCCGGCCACTTGTGCTTTAGATGGTCTCAGATACAGATTTAACCCTTAAAGAGTTTCCTGGAAGGAACATGACAACATCCTTTCCCGTGTGGGGTTCAATGAGACATCCGGGGCCACTGTCTCTCTAAGGACACAGATCTGCCTGTGTGCAGGAGACAGACTTTGAAGGCTGTGCAGAGGAGCCTGAGCCTTCAGTTGACTGAGTTGAGTTCCAAGTATCCCTCATGAATAGATTGAGTTTGTAAATGAAGCATCCACTCTATACACATCTTGCGAATACACACATAGAGGCGTGCCCAGCGAGGCGGCGTAGATGTGTGCACAGGGATAGGCCCACACCCAGCATGTGGGGCCACATTCAGACTTCCCCCACACAAGTGTGTGCACAGTGGATACTTATTCCCACCCATGGTGCTGCGGGGCACAGGCTCACACACCCAGTGTATGGACCCACAACCTTGCTGTGTGGCCAGAGCTTCCTGTACAGCCTAGGACGGAGCCCCTGGTTCCGTGTGACTGCTGTGTGGTGGGAGCGTGGACAAGGGAGGTCAGAGTCCTACCATCTGGACTGTGTCCCCAGGCACCAAGGAGGTACAGCCCTGGAAGACAAGAATAGTGTCCAATCCACTCTCCCAAGGTGCGAACCAAGGGCTGGGGATTTAGCTCAGTGTTTCTGCCACCTGCCTCACCAGCGAAAGGACCTGAGTTCAATCCTGAGTACAAAAAAAAAAAGTACCAAGATGCAAACCAGGGATCCAGTGAGGTCCTAATCCATTCCCAGACGGGTGGCAGGGATTTGCTAGTGTCGCGGTGCCAGGCGGCCCTCCACTTGGGCTCCTCTGACCTCACTGGGGCTGCGGGCCCGTGGGCCCAGGACAGCGCTGTGGTGCCCTCAAAGGAAATCATTCTTCATTGGTAATGAACATTATGTCTGTGGAAACTAATGGCCCAGCCTCCTATTCAGTTTATGTAAAATAAAACAGGCCATATGCTGCTGCTTTCAGAGTTTGGGTGTTTAAATTAAATGTTGTTTAATGAATATTCAAACCCATTTGCTCCGAAGTTGCGCTCAATGTGGTGGCGGCTTTCATCCCCCCCTCTTCCTCGAAGCCCCTCCCTGCACCAGTACCCAGGGTATTAAGCCATTAGAACGGGGTGTGAACATCCAGGCATCTGTCTCCCAACGGAAAGTTGGATATTAAAATGCTGGAGCAGATGACAGTATAAATAAAGACATACAGTGAGAGGCTGGTCTGGTGATTTTTTTGTTTGGTAATTAAAACTGAGGAGGTTTTGACTGAAATTCTCTCTTCCTGAGGAGCAGAGGTGGGGTGCTGCACCCTGTCCACCCCTTCCTTAGCTTTGCCCAGCAGCCCAGAGAGTGGCTTTCGCACTGGGCTCCACGGAATGGGTTGAGGGACGAGTGTCAGCTTGGCGGTGTGAAGTGTGCAGTGGTTTCCCTCCTCTCCAGCCCCTTCTTCCTGCTGAACTCTTGTCTTGCTGCCCTCATACCGATGGAGTGACGGCCATGGCTGTAAGGCTGCGTCAAGTCCGCTGTGATTCAAAACTACAGAATCTTGGGTGGAGACGCTCCTCTTCCCGATGGGAGGCCAGACGAGACTCAGAGGAGGAGGTGGGGAGGGGCAGCATGTGCTGAGCCACCCTCTGCCTGGCCAGCAGCTGGGTCTCCTCTGGGCTCAGAGGCAGGGCTTGCTGTGGGCAATGGCAGGAGGAGTGGTGCTCATGAGGGTCAAAACTACCTATCCTGGCCCTGTCTCCCCAGTGTCTTACTTTCTCTCCTGGCCACGTCGTCTCTGAGTAGATGGTGGGGCTATTGGGCAGAGTCCAGCTCTTGAGCATCACTGCCCTGCAGTCCCCAGAATGGTGCCCACCCTGTTTCCTTTTGGGAGATGGGCATCATTTCCCTGGGCTGTGCTTGGCTTCTGGCCATCTTCCAACCTTTGTACCTCCAGAGGGCTGCACAGCAGGGACTGTGAACTGGGCCCCATCTGCTTCTCCGTAGGTCCCTGTAACACACTGGGAGCATGGGCTTCTCCCACTTTCCAAGATCCCAAAGGGATGTGAGTACCATGCTCTGTGCTCACATATAGCCCCAGGCTGGGGCACCCAGATCCACCTCACTCACCATCCCCCCTCCCTAGACTCTGGCCCGCTGTCCAGTGCCACATCGGAGCGGGCTGCAGTTTCTGCAGCTCAGCCAGCACCCAGCTGGGGAGGAAGATGCCAGCCTCCTGTCTCTTGGGCACCCTCACTTTAGTGAGTTATTTCCTCAGAGCCCCTACCTCAGGCTTTGGGACAGCTTTATGGGGCTCCTATTGGAGGGCCAGTTTGGGTTCTTGATGAAAGCTTGTGGCATTGTTTACCCAGCTGTCTCCCTGTAGGTGTGTGACAGTGCCCTTGGCTTGGGTTTAAGCTTGGGTTTGTCCATTCCCAGAATGATTTTAGGATGATCACAAAGCACCTCGCCCTTCTCTCCTCTCCCCAAGTTACCTCCTAACTCAAGAGCTCAAGTGGTTCCCATGCTTCTAATCCCAACCCTCCTTCCCCAGCCCTGAGCTGTCTCTGGGGCTCTATCTCCGCTTGGACATCCCACTAAATTACCAGTTTCAATCTCACCTCCAGCCTCATCGGCTCTCTTCCCTCTCCTACCATCCAAGCCAGTGTTTTCCCTACAGTATGTAATTGCCACATAAGCATTCACTGAGCGACTATTACCTACTGCGTAATAAGCTCTGGGGATTCCGGGACAGCCAGGAATGGTTGCTGCCCCTCAGGAGCTCTTGGCTCAGTGGGAGCGAACACCCTAGAAGAGAAGGTCAGGATGCAGGATAAGCACCAGGAGAATGCAGCTTGAGGTGTAATAACTAGCAAGGTGTGGGAAGGGCATCCAGGGACAGGGAACAGCAGGAACAGCACAGGGCGGTTCTGGGTTCCTGGGCTCTAACGTACAGGGAAGGGAGAGAGATAAGTGATGGGCCAGTTTCCTGTCTCTGTTGCTGCACTGCCCCCTTCCAGCTGTGCCAGCTCTGGCGGGCTCAGACAAGTCCACCATCCCACCTGAGGGGAACGATGTGATCGGGGTGCCGGTCACGGGCGTCTTCCCCTCTGCACAGTGTTACCTCCCAGGAGGCGAACATGGACACGGCCGGAAGGAACATTTTAGGGATGGGACGCTGGCCACTCCAATACCAGTGCCAGTGCCAGTGCCAAGTCCTCACCTAGACCTTCCTCCTAGGTTGAGTTCTGGGTTTACATCTGCAATCTCCTTCACTCTCGACTTCCCTTTGCTTTCTTGGCCCCTGCATTTCTGGCAGAATCTGGCTCCCGGAGACCAGAATGTGGTCCCTGAGCAGGTAGCCCCCTGGGCTTCATCTATGCTCATATTGCCACTTTACACATGGCAGGGCATAGCCTCAGGAAAAGGACCCAGCTGTGGGTGTCCCCGTAGGTTCCTGCTTGTCTTAGCTCCCCAGTACTCCTGGCTTCCACCCACTGACAGGAGGATTGGAACCTCCTAGGTGAGGGCTTCCTTCCTTCTTTCCTTCCTTCCTCCCCCGCCCCCCCCACCGCCTCTTTCTTTCTTTTTGTTTTGTTTTTGTTTTTTGTTTTTTGTACCGGGGATTGGACTCCAGCCCTTGTGCTTGCAAGGCAGGTGGCAGAACCACTGAGCTAAATCCCTGGCCCCTCTTTTTGTTTTTTTGAGACAGTATTTTGCTATGTATTCCAGGCTAGCCTTGAATTAACGGCAGTGCTTCCTCAGCCCCTCTAATACTGGGATTACAGGCATACACCATCATACCTCACTTATGACTGCCTACTTTATTTCCTGACCTGGTTGTACAGTGTACAGGTGTGTGTGTGTGTGTGTGTGTGTGAGAGAGAGAGAGAGAGAGAGAGAGAGAGAGAGAGAGAGAGAGGGAGAGAGGGAGAGAGAGAGACTGAGGTTGGCAAGGGAGCTAGTGCCCCAAGTTCAGAATCTATTCCTGGGCTCGGAGGAAGCAGACATCCCTTGTTCCCAGCTGACCTGGTCTCTGAGTGCCTGCATTTGCTTTATCCACAGCAGGCACATTAGATCCCAATTTAACAGAAATCCTGGTCCTGAGCCCACACCAGGCCCCGACTCCCCAGGGTGTGGGAGACTCGCAGGATATGCTTTCATCACAACCAGAGCCAGGCAGTTCTGGGGCTGGGCATGCTATAAGGAAACCGTTCATTTGTCTCTTCATTCTTCCAATCTGCACTGGAGCCTGAGCCGGGAATTGGAGAGAGCAGAATGAAAGACATTATGCTCCTGTTCTCCAGGGGACTGCAGTTTAGTAGAAGCTGTGGGTGGGTTTGGAGATGTGTGCATTGAATGGCATTGGGTGAAACAACCAGCAACCTGCATGGGGTAAGGGAGACTGACATCTGTCCAGCTTTTACCAAGTGCCCCCTTGGGGCTGAGTGCATCCCTTGGCTTATTTCACTTCATCTTCGTTTTGGACAGAAACACCCAGTTGAGTCATCTTACTTGGGGTAAAAAGGAAGGGATTCCAAAATTTGGGACCTCCCAGTAACCCCCAAACCAGCAATGAGACAGCATTCAGGGCAGGGACAACTGGTCTACCTGAGTCTACTAAATTTTCCTCCTGGTTTCTCTGGAAAAAGAATTGCCTTGAGCTAGGGATTTGGCTCAGTGGTTCCGGCACCTGCCTCGCAAGCACAAGGACCCAAGTTCGATTCCCGGTACCAAAAAAAAAAAAAAAAAAAAAGAAAAAAAAATTGCCTTGTGATGGTGAGGATGGCAGAGGTGGCCAAGAATCACAGGCCTCATGTGTGTGACAGGAAAGAAGTTCTGCCTCCCTAGAGTTTCTGTGGTGTGCATAGGAGACAGTATTTGTGAAAGCATTAAGGCAGGATCAATTTTGATACAATAAAACAGTACTCAGACTTCTACCTGAATTTCTTGCATTTCAATGAAATTTCCTCCCAGCAGGAATGAGTTTCTGAAAACCATTGATCCATCCATCCAACCTTCATACCAGCCAACCAACCAACCAATAAACTAGTTCCATCTACCTCTTCCCTTATCATAGCAAGTTTTTCAGTACCTACTTGTTGCTGGCCACTTAGAATGAAAGGCAGGTAGTGAATAGACAACTTTTCTCACTAGTTTAGTTTAGATTCATTATTTTGTTAAATATTTTCTATTCACACCAGTCAGACACTATCTCCATAGGAAATGAGTTTATTTTTATTTTTATTTATTTATTTTGGTACCAGGGATTGAACTCAGGACCTTGTGCTTTCACAGCAGGTGTGGTGCCACTGAGCTATGTATTCCAGACCTTATCTTTATTTTTTTGTGCTGGAGATCAAAACTAGAATCTTGCACCACATACTCTGCACATACTTTATCACTGAGTTATAGCCTCACCCTGAAATGAGAAGTGTCAGCAACAGAAAGTTTAGGTAATTGTCCTGAGGTCACAGAGCAACAAAGTAGCAGAGTCATAATTTAAAGCCATGCCTTTTGACTATGAATGGCCTGCTTGCAGATAATGCAGTGGCCTTGCAGAGTTGTATCTTTATGTGGTAGAGGAGAGTTGTAGTTTCAGGCAGTCAAAACAAATTGTTCATGTCCTGCCTGGCTTAGTCTAGGTCAGCAATAACAGGAATATTTCACAGATGGTTCCTGTCCTCTCCAAGACAATGGCACCATGAAGCCCTGAGCTCTGTCATAGTCTACACACTCACCCTTGGAACTGGGGGAATTCTTAGCAGCCACGAGTACTTTGGGTCTTTGGGAAGGACACTCTAACAGTGAGAGTCTATCGCTGATCCTAGGGCCAAGAGGCCTTGGATGACACACCTGGCTCCATGGTGGGTGCCCCAGGGAAGCAGCAGGCTTGTGGTTGTTGGCAACATCGCTGGGTGCGTGAAGCAGCAACCTCTGGGCTGGCTCATGTGTGGGTTGGGCAGCACCCAGTTATTGAGGTAGAAAGCAAGGCCAGCTGGGTTGTAGAAGCCAGACCTTGGAGGCCACCGGACAGTGGGATGGTTCCTCTGTCTGCCTCTCTCTGAGCTCTGCCCTGTTCTCCTCCCTGTGGGTAGAGTTTCTCTGCCTGCTCCTGGCTTCCCCATTTGTGAAGCCCCTTCTTCCAGCTTCCATCTGCAGAACACTTGGCTCACTGTGACCACAATGCCCTATGACCCCAAATGCATCATCATCTTACTTGGTTCTAACTCTCTGTTTCTTTCTACACGTTCTAATTTCAAGCCAGGTGAACAGTTCCATAAAAAGACCTGAGGAAAGCCACAAGTGTCCAATGCTGGGAGCATCCTGTCCACCCCACTTCAGAGGCCCTGCAGGAAAAAGCACAACATACAGGAGATGCCACTATTCTACAGACCACAGTCCATCTGCTCGTTCCTGTTGCCTTTTTTAAAAAAATGAAAGCTCTGGTATTTATGCACAATGGAGCACTATTCTACTAGAAAGGATAAACTTCAGTCATGTGTAGGAGAATGGGCACCTTGAGACTATGATGTTAAGTGAAATAAACTAGACACGCAAACTTAAATAACTCATGGTGTGTCTCAGCTTCCCCTGAATCCCCGCAAACCCAGGAGGATGAAGCTGGGTGTGGGGGTCACTTTGTCTATAATCTCAGTATTTGGGAGGCCGAGGCAGGAGGACCACTGTGAGCTCAAGGCAGCTTGAACTACATAGTGAGACTATCTTAAACAAGCTGTAAGAAGATAGCAGCTACTGATACATATTTCTTGGTGTGGGCCAAGCATCCAACTGAGTACTTTCTGTGCTTTAATTCACCTTGTGCTCACAACAACCCTATTTTACAGTTGATGCTGCTGAAACGCAGAGAAGGTAGTGAGTGACTTGTCCAAGGTTGCACAGCAGACAATTATGGGCCACTTGTCCGCTGCCCTGCTGGGTGGCCAGGCAGTGACTCGCGTCCTGGCGGTCTGCAAGCCGTGGGACATTTCCCAGGGTGTGGTACCTCCTCCCAAACCCTGGGAGCTGTCTGTGTGTGGTGTCAGCCTGTCCCACTTCATCACGCCAGTCATTAATCCCCTGTGCAGCACAGCTGGGACCGGGCCCCAGACCCTGTCTCCGCTGCCATGTTTTCACAAGCCTGATAAACGATCCTGCTGCCGCAGCTCGAAGGGCATCTGTGGAAAAGTGGTCCTGAGCAAGATTCTCCAAGACCTTTTTCCACGTCCCATCCATCCATCCTTGGCTGCTGGGAACCAGCGTGACATAGCTGCTGGCAGCCAGAAGCCAGGCTCCGGAGGTCTCTAGTCTGGGGTTGGGGCCACAGGAATCACATCAGAGACGGCCCAGACAGCGTGGAGTTCACCTCTTCTCACTGTGTGAGAGGGGACACCAGGAGGGAGTAGTTCAAGGTCGACCAGCACTAGTCTGGGGGTGAAGCTCCACAGACCAGGTCTGGCCTTTGAGATAGCTTTTCAGCCCATGGCTGGCAAGCAATATCTCATTTTCCTCTCCTGATCAGCCCTCCAGGTGAGTGTTACTAAACCCATTTTACAACTGGGTGTGGTGGTACACACCTGTAATCCCAGCATTTGAGAGGCTGAGGCAGAAGCATTGCCCTGAGTTCCAGGCCAACCTGGGCTACATATGAGTTCAAGGCCAGTCTAAACTACATAGCAAGACCCTGTCTCAAGACCAAACCAAACCAAACCCCACCTTACAGATGAGGAAATTGAGGCCTTCTGTGTTATTCCCTGTGTGTCCCTTTAATATTAAGACCATCTTTATATCCTCCAGGAAACTTTTCCTTCATGTCTCAGTTGTTTATCTAGTGGCAGTAGATGTCTAGTCCAACCCTAGAGAGCCCAGGTTCAGGTCCAGCTCCATCACCTTCTAAGTGAGGCCCGAAGCAGGCCTTGCAGTTGGGGGAGTCTCAGTTCTGACTCTGAAAATTAGGGATAATAATGTCAGAATTGCAGGGCAGGGTTGGAGATTTAGCTCAGTGGTGCTGTCGCCTGCCTGGCAAGAGCAAGGTCCTGAGTTCAATCTCTGGTACTGGAAAAAAAAAAAAATTGCAGGGCACTTTGAAAGATCACATGACACCATCATTGGAAGCTACTTATCATGATACTGAATATGTAAATGGTAGCCACTAAGTTAGTGTTATCAATAAGAATTGCCAATGTTCAATATCAAGTCTCAATCTAAAAATCTGAAATTAAATTTGTTCTAACTACTGTGAGTTTTGGCCTCTTTCTTTCTTTCTTTCCTTCTTTCTTTTGAGATAGGATCTTGCTCAGGATGGAACTCACTATGTAGTCCAGGCTGGCCTTGAATTTGAGGGGATCCTCCTGCTGTCTCAGCCTCCCAAGTGCTGAGATTACAGGGCTGCGCCACCACATCTGGCTTGGCATGGCTATTAACATTTTATTTACATATTAAGGTCCATGGTTGAATAACAGGCCTCCAAATGTCCTGCTCCTAATTTGGGATCCCGTGAATATGTTACCTTACCTAGCAAAGGGAACTTTGCAGCCGTGGTTTGTCAGGGTCTGTGATGAGGAGGTTATTCCAGGTTATGAGCTGGAGGGCCCAATGTAACCACAAAGATCCTTGCAAGAAGGAAGCAGGTGAGTCAGGGTTGGAAAAAGAGCTATTGTGGTGGAAATGGAGGTGATTTGAAGGTGGTTCACTGCTGGCTTGGAAGATGGAGGAGGACACTACCAGCCAGGGAATGCAGGACACCTCTGGAAGCTGGAAGAAGCAAGGGCACAGATTTGTCCAAAGTTTCCACAGGGAATGTAGCTCTGGACTGCTCACTCCTGGGGCTAGAAGACAATGAGCTTGTGTATTCTCAGCCACAGATTTTGGGGTCATCTGTTACTGCAGCAGTAGGACAAGAAGATTAGAACCTTGTGGAATATTTTCTATTCAAATTCTACAGGCATTTGTAAGCTCTTCTGCCAGGCAAGGACTATGCTGGATACTCCCATCTGCATCTGTTTCTATGGGGGGTGATCAAAATGTACGATGAATATTTAAACTGAAAACAATTTATGTTGGTAAAAGGCACATTGCCATGAATCTCCCTCAAAAATGTTTCCTCTCCCTTCAAACACACAGATCCCATCATTCTGTAGCTTTCTGAGGCCGTTCTGGAAGTCCTCTTTCGTGAGTGTCTGTCTTTACAGGTTGTGATTAAAAATACAGTGAATGCTGCTGCCCAGTGCCATCCAACAGAAAGGCAGGCTCGTAAAAGCATGGTTTGTCCTCACCTGTTTTATTCACCAGGTCAGATCTGGCACTGTACAACTTCTAGTTTTTCCCCAACATCAAAAATGACCACGAAAGGGAAGCATTTTGAATCAATTCAGGACATCAGGGCAGCCACAACAGTGCAATTAAAGACACCCATGAGGGCCAGGGATTTAGCTCAGCAGTTCCGCTGCCTGCCTTGCAAGCACAAGGACCCGAGTTCGATCCCCGGTACAAAAAAAAAAAAAAAAAAAA